ATCAACCTAGGTGCCCATTAACCGTGGACTGAATAAAGAAAATGTGGTACATATACATCAAGGAGTACTATGCAGTGGGGAAAAAGAATGAAATTACGTCCTTTGCAATAACACGGATGTAACTAGAGGCCATTGTCCTAAGCAAATTAATGCATAAACAGAAAAGCACATACTGCATGTTCTTATAAGTCGGAGCTAAACATTGAGTACTCATAGTCATAAAGATGGGAACAGTAGATGCTGGGGACTACTAGAAGGTGAAGGATTGAAAAACTGTAAGGTATTATGCTCACTACCTGGGTAGTGGGATCATTTATACACCAAACGTCAGTGACACAATTTACCCATTTAACATACGTGTACGTGTACCCCCCAAACCTAAAATAAAAGTTGAAAAAAATAGATACCTATATGTAGCAAAAATTGGTACCTGGATTTTGAATGATTTATGTGTATTTAAATTTAAACCAGCTATGATTATGGCCAAAAATGTTTTGGAGAGACAGACATATAGTAATTATATATAAACGCTATTACAGAAGTGTGTATAAAGTGCTATGGGAACTCAAGAGAAGGATGTCTTCACAAAAGAAATGTCATTTGGCCTTCATGTACAGCACAAGGATAGAATTGCATTCCAGGTAGAGGAAGCAGTATGTGCAAAGGCACAGAGGCTCTTAAAAGAGCCACAGTAGTAATAAGATGACCTAGGCAGAGGGACATCAGTGAAAATTAGGTGGAAGTTTAGAAATAACACACCAATACTTTCTGTATTGTAAAGTTTTCATTGGACTGTTTAGGCAGATTCTAAGGGCTGCAGATACAGTTTGATTCAGGACTCAAATAGTATAACAAGGATCGCTTTTTCTGTTTCTGTTTCTTTGCTTCTTCATCCCCATTCTCAGGCCCCATGTAGATACAAGATGGCTAGTTACCAATAGCTCAAAGTTCTGGATTAGAGTCTCTTTAGGACCAACTGACCTTACTGGAGTAGTATCTTAGAAATAATCACCATGACCAAGGGAAAGGAATTCTCTGACAAGGGCTTCCCATGTGGGGAAGGAAGCAAGTGGGGTGCTTTTGCCACAAGGAGGGACTTACGGATATTGCATAGCAGACACTACAAATACTCACTCAACAGAACCATTTCAGATTTTACATAGAGGCAAAATGTTGGCGGCTTTGGAGATTTTGATTTCTGTTTTGCTTCATATTATCTTAATATTTAAATAATTTTAATTCTGAATTAAAATTTTTAAATTATTTTGTCCCTAGTTTCTAACTTAAGGGGAAAACTTTTAAATGAGAATGGCATAATTTAAGATTATATTCATCAGTTTCCAACCACTGTTTGGAGAAGAGTGAGTTTCCCATGTTGCTTTCGTGTACTCAGATGAATACCATTTAAAAAACAGTAAAAGTGTGCAGTATATATGAAGAATAAGTTGCACATAAGAGCTTGAATTAATGTTACAACAGAAATGTTCAGTTTTCTGCCATAAAGAATAATTAAAAAGTGATTGACTCAAATTTGTTTTTGTAGGGCATCAAAAATGTTTATACTCTTAGATTGGTTAAAATGTTCACCCTTAATCTGATTTGGCAGTGAAATAATTACCCTCATATAGTGAGTGATATTTCCATGTTACCATGTGAACTTACTGAATTTGCTGAGATAGGGCTCCAGATTGGAGGTATAGATATTAACCATATCTTGGTTAATTAATACAAAATATGAAAATAATTTGATAGGAGTAAAATATTTACTCATGTTATATATAATTGGATACATGTACAGGTTGAGTATTCCTAATCTGAAAATGCAGAATCCAAAATGCTCCAGTGAACTCAAAAAGTATCGGATTTTGGAGCATTTCGGATTTCGGATTTTCAGATAAGGAATATTCAACTTGTACTTATATAATGTATTAAAAGGAAAATGAAATTGAATTGCCTTATATGGCTTGTCATTTTCCTTATTATAATAAATTGCTACAGTAACAGTCAGATTTTGTTTACTTGGAACTCTTAGAGAATGAATCATTCTGAATAATGGAATTCCATGGAGTCTGATTTCCAGGTACTTGATCAGGTTTTCCCTGTAGTTTAAATTTTTCTCTAAAATACTTTTCATGATTTCTTCACCTCCTTAAAGTTAAGTGAAAATTATTCTAATTTTTCTTTACAATTAGGTTATTGTTTGCATCATTTATTGTGCTGTGCAGCAATGGAAGTTTGTAGGGTTGTTTATCCTTTGTGAAAAAGCCATAAAGTGCTTTGAGATCTTGTGTGTTCATTATGTCCTTTTTAACCTGCCTCTCTCTAATTCCTGTCTCTTTTTTGCTTCTGGGCTTATAGCGCCTCTTTTCAATGCTAAAGACTTTGAATGGCATATTACCATTCTTTTACAGGTTGTATATAACACAGGAGTACATAGACTCTAAACATCGACTCATAGTGGGCCTGGCTTATAAACATTTATTGGTTGAATGGATGTTGTAACATGGCCATGGCATTGCTTAAAAATGGGGATGTGTTCTGAGAAATGTATCAGGTGATTTCAGCCTTGTGCAAACATCATAGAGTATACTTACACACACCTAAATGGTACAGCCTACTACACACCTAGGCTACAAACTTATACAGCATGTTATGGTACTGTAGGCAGTTGTAACACAATGGTAAGTATTTGTGTATCTAAACATAGAAAAGGCACAGTAAAAATACAGTATTAGGTTGGGCGCCATGACTCATGCCTATAATCCCAGGACTTTGGGGGCCGAGGCAGGCGAATCGCAAGATCAGGAGTTCGAGACCAGGCTGGCCAACATGGTGAAACTCCATCTCTACTAAAAATACAAAAACTTAGCTGGGCGTAGTGGCGGATGCCTGTAATCCCAGCTACTCGGGAGGCTAAGGCAGGAGAATCGCTTGAACCAGGGAGGCTTGCAGTGAGTCGAGATCACACCACTGCACTCCAGCCCAGGAGACAGAGTGAGACTCCATCTCAAAAAAAAAAACAAACAAAAACAAACAAACAAAAAACACCAGTATTATAATCTCATGATCTCATGGGACCACCATCACATACGCAGTCTGCCGTTGACTGAAATGTTATTTGGCATGTAACTGTATTTACAAAGTTGTCAAACATACTCTGATAATCTTCTAAGGAGGAGAAGTATTTGAGAGGTGAGAAATTCACATTAACATTTTCCAAAGACAGTTTTCATACATCTTAAAATTTAAGAACTTGAAAGTACCTCACAAAACATGTATGTCAGGCTGTAAGTCTTCTGCAGTCAACCTTTGTCTGGCAAAGATCTTTGCCATTTTCTGTCACCTCAAAAAGAGAAACACAGCTGTCAGTGAACTCCCTTCCTTCTGCTAATACTTTTATCTTTATGCCTCCTCTGTATCTTTGCTGAACTAAAAGCTTCAAGGAAATGATAAGTACTTCCTCACAATTGAATGTTGACCAGACCCATGCTATTCAAATATTGTAAAACTTTGTTATCTAGTAACTTTTTAATCTAAAGCTAAGTTATGCTTTAAATAGTTCTTTCAATCTTCATTTATCTCATTTTTTCTTTCTTGCAATTCTTCATATATCAGGTAAACAGACTAGTTAGGCATTTTGTTTTTTGGTTTTGTTTTATTTTGTTTTTTGTTCTTTTGAGACAGTCTCGCTCTGTTCCAGGCTGAAGTGCATTGGCACAATCTCAGCTTACTGCAGCCTCCACCTCCCAGGTTCAAGCGATTCTCCTACCTCAGCCTCCCGAATAGCTGGGACTACAGTCCTGCGCCACCATGCCAGCTAATTTTTATATTTTTAATAGAGATGAGGTTTCTCCGTGTTGGCCAGGCTGGTCTCCAACTTTTGAGTCTCAAACTTTTGACCTCAGGTGATCCACCTGCCTTGTCCTCCCGAAGTGCTGGGATTACAGGCATGAGCCACCACGCTCAGCCTGGGTTAGGCATTTTGGAATGGGACTGTCACACTTCCACAGGTCCTTCCCTCCCCCAATTTTATTTTTTCTAAAAATCTCATTTAAAAATACCTGTAGAGTCATGTACTAAATAGCTATCTCTTGATGTCTGGACAGAGGTGTAAATTAAGCACCTTCTCCTGCTTCCTTATGTGAAGCTCTTATACTCTGGTCACTGGCAGTAGCTTTAACATTTTTTCTGTATCCCATTCCTTTGGACAGTGGGTCTCTCTGTCACTTTATTGATTGACTTAGGTTGTTTCTAATTTTACTTTTGCAGCTACAAATATTGTAGTGAGCATCCTTATGTATATCCTTGCCTACTTATTGAACAATGTCTGTAGGATAGTTTCCTAGACTTTGTTTTGCTCAAAGGTTGTGCACTTGTAACATTTTGATATATTTTGTCAAATGACACTCCAAACAATGAGAACACATTTATAAGCCAGCTACCAGTATTTGAGTGTTCATTTTTTCTACAGCTTCAATATAATTGTTTGATTTGTTGATCCAGATAACATGAGCAATAAGTAATAAATCTCAAGGTTATTTTCTATTATCTTTGATTTATGACTTCTACAAATAGCTTTCAAAAAGAGGTGCATTTAATATTTTCCTTTTATCACTTCCAAGCCTATTCAGATATGAAATGTGCTATCAAAACAAGACAATTCATTTTTTATTATTACAGGCATGAAACATCATTTAAGGAAGTTACTTTATCAATCATTGCCAAATACTTCTTTACTATTACATCACCTGTCAAGTCAGGATATGTACTTTGAATGCTTTTTCTTCCAAGTTGGAGTTTACAGGACAACTGTTGAACTTGTCATTTCCTTTGCTAACATTTACATGTGATCACTTTGAAATACTCCTTGAGTTTTACTGAGCAATAACACTGATTACAATGGTGAATGAACAGTAATTTAAAGCATATTAAAGGAGACTTTGTTAATCCAAACAAGCATTAATGAATCTGAGCTTTGTTTATTTATTGCTTGCTTGCAGGTGGATTCACCAATGAACTTGAAGCATCCTCATGACCTAGTCATATTAATGAGACAAGAAACAACAGTTAACTACCTCAAAGAATTAGAGGTGAGGCAACTGGGCACATGCGATGGCAGCTGAAGCTTGCTGCATTTCACAGGAGCCATTGTGTTCAAAGAAAAGCTAAAGCATATTATTTTTTAAGTCTGATTCTTCTAACTTTTGCAGGAATATACTACCTGCAATTTTTTAAAAATCATTTTATCAAAGTGATATTTGAGCAATAGTGAGAAAAACAGACTACTCTAGCCTGGGTATGTGCCTGACTCTTAAAACTCATTTATCTTTGAACAGAGTTTCCATGTTTTTAAGTTTTTTCATCAAATATGAAAATGATACAATCTCTGAAGATATTCCTAGAATAATTTGGGTAAAATCTGAAAGAAAGAAAGAAACATTTTAATAGCCTAAAAATGTAATTATTGTTTATTCCCAGGTAGTGAAAACTAATGTCTTCCTATTATGTCTTCTTATGGTTGACGTGAAAAACATTGATCACCTTGTACCTTGAAAGCTCGAACCTTACTAGTGCTAATAAAATCTGACCTCTTTTTAAAAATAAACATCAGTTTTCTTTTTCTCTAACATGTTTCCATAAATTGATTTTTGCTTAATAGCAAAGAGTATTTGTTATTTGAAAATCTAGGGTTTTTTTCCTCCTGAAATCTTTGCTTAAAAGTTACAGTGTAAATTGAATCTAAATTGTAAAGAAACTATAAGTTGTAGAAACATTAAATCAAATTGCAAAATGAGAAAAAAAACTTGAGAATAATAAAAGTAGTAAGAGTAGAATCAGAGTATTTCACAACTACAAGGAATCATAAGATCCTAATTTTAGAGGCAAGGAAACAAGTAGACCTGAAGACACTGAATTGTCTGACTTCATAACGCAAGATATGGCAGAACCAGAAACAAAAACTGTATCTCTTGACTTTAAAAGCTGGCATATCTGGTTTTTTGTTGTTGTTGTTTTTTGAGACGAAGTTTCACTCTTGTCACCCAGGCTGGAGTGCAGTGGCACAATCTTGGCTCGCTGCAACCTCCACCTCCCAGGTTCAAGCGATTCTCCTGCCTCAGCCTCCTAAGTAGCTGGAATTACAGGCACCTGCCACCACACCCAGCTCATATTTGTACTTTTAGTAGAGACGAGTTTCGCCATGTTGGCCAGGCTGGTCTCAAACTCCTGACCTCAGGTGATTCACCTGCCTCGGCCTCCCAAAGTGCTGAGATTACAGGCGTGAGTCACCGCACCCAGCCAAAAGCTGGCATACCTGGTAAACTAAGTTGGCTTGTATTTTCTTGTTATGTAGAAGTCCTGAATTTCATTTACATATATTTAGACTAGGGTATTTATCAATATACGTATGTCTACAAATAGTTATAAATATGTATTTTTAAAAAAATCTGTGAATTAAGAGAGAAAAGTAGCACACATTAACCAGCTCTGCCTAGGTAGAAGTATATTTAGAGTATTTCTAGAACTTGAATACCTCAACATTGTAAAAATAGTTTCTCACCTTGTACACACTGGTTTTATCACTTGTAAATTTGGAAATGTTGATTTTTGTCAATACTAGGAATTAGACAGTAGGTATCCTTATAGTGCTTCATGCTTGGAAGCATGATCTATTTTTATTTAAACCCAGTGTTCAGAAAGATGCAATGGTGCAGAAAATCTGTGTTGTTGTTTTTTTTTCAGGTATATAGGCACATTATATATGTTTATTGCTATTTTGGGAGGCTGTATTATATAAAGAGAAAGAGATTTAAATTAGAGGATATATAGGAAGAAAGTGCCATTTCTTAAGTCAGTGAAAATGAAATGAAAAATACTGACTCCAACAATTTTTGGTTAAGGTAGTGTAGAAGTTTGTACTTAGTAAACTTCTATTTTTGTTTATACTGATACTAAGTATAAACTTCTATTTTTGTTTATACTTATACTATGAAGCTTCTGCTTCATATGCATAGCAATGACAGGTAAAATATAAAAATAGAAACCAAAATAAAATGTGGGCAGGCTTGAAAGTAGTATAAGCATCTCCATAAACCAGAAATGAGGAGAAGCACTAAATTGGGAATGTGACCAAAGCTACCGACCTGTTGGGCTCCAAGGCCAGGAGCAGGCTATAGTATCTGATATTCAGCACTGTGGGGTTAAGGGAGCTGACAATATTCCATGCAAGATGTAGGAATAGAACGAGGCTTACTGCTTGAAGACTGGGATGAAGCCATTCTGCTCATAGAAAGAGCCTGGCAAAAAACAACAACAACAACAACAACAACAACAACAAAAGAAAACATATCAAAAACAGAAAGACTAATGCTGATGACCAAAAAAAGGAACTGAATCATCCAATAGTTCAATAATTACATCTTCAATTTCCTGAATATCATTTTAGGGTAGAATATTTGCAATAGGAACTTGAAACCAAAATTGAAAGGTCTGATTCTGAATTTGGTAACTGGATAGAACCTGGAAACAGCCACAAGACTATGAGACCTAGATGATGGTCATGGAGTGATTGCAAAGAAGGGGATGAGACAGAGGGTGTGAAGAAATACTCCAGGGTTTCTGACTTGAGTGATTGCAAGATTGAAGTGGATGTTAGCTGAGATAAAGAAGACTGAAAGAGGTACAAGATTGGGGAGGAGTTTGGCTTTGAAATGTTAACGTTTGAATTGCCTGTCAGGCATTCAAGAATGGACATCACGTGGGCAGTTGGTTCTTCTAGTGCAAACTCAAGGGGAAAGATTCAGGCTGAAGATAGAAAATTGTTAGTCATTGACAGATAGACTTAAAGCTATGAGACTAGATGAAACAGTTTATCTACCAAGTAGTGACAACTGTATGAACATCTTAGATAACAGAAGACAGTGAAGGATAAGGGAAAATCAATTCTACTGAAATTTTATATTCTTTTAAACTATCATTTAAAACTGCGGGCAAAGTAAAGATAATTTCTGACGTACAAAGGCAGTACTAACCACAGACTCTCACTTCAGTTGAAAAAATATTAAGGATGTTTTCTGCAAGAAGAAAAGTAAACCTATTGGAAGTTCATATAATGTATGATAATAAGTTAAAAACATTGATGAAAAAATTGCTAAATTTACTTATTATGCTCTCTGAGGTCAAACTAGATAAAATTAATAATATGCAATTGGGTTGGAGCATGTTCAGTGATTAAAGCATGTTAGATTGTTTTGTCATGTTCAAAAGATAAAAATAACTGAATAAATTAATATGCTATGGGAAAATTTATTGGCAAATATATTAAAAACTTAAGAATGTTGCTTGCTACTTTGTAAGTAGTCTTACCAAAAAATAAACCACAATATAATTTGTTATTCAGTGTAATTGGTTTCCTTTGTCATTCTGTCTCTTACATTTTATATATTTAAAAGATTATTCTGAAAACAGATTTATAGGCTTCATCAGACTGCCAAAGAAGTCCATGACACAAAAAGATTATTACTCTAGATCCTGATGTCAATATTCAGGAAATACAGAAAATAGAGGAACATATTCAGTGAACCTTGAGGACCTAGTCAGCAAATTCCCCTAGAATGGCAAACTCTACAGAACAAACAATCCAATTTCCTTTTTTTTTCTTTTTTCTTTTTTTTTTTTTTTTGAGACAGGGTCTTGCTCTGTCACGTAGGCTGGAGCGCAGTGGCGTGAACACGGCTCACTGCAGCCTCAACTTCCTGGTTGTCTTCCTCATGCTGTCTTCCTACCTCAGCCTCCTGTGTAGCTGGGACCACAGGCGTGCACAATGCCCAGCTATTTTTTTTATTTTTTGTAGAGACAGGGTCTCACTTTGTTGCCTAGGCTGGTTTTGAACTCCTGGGCTTAAGCAGTCCTCCCAACTTAGGCTCCCAAAGTGCTGGGATTATAGGCATGAGCCACCATGTCTGGCCCCAGTTTCTTTAACACATAAATTACAAGGGAGTGGGGAGAGAAAGTATCCAGTAGATTAAAAGAGATGTAAGAGACAAATCACCCAATTGCAGTGTGTATGGACTATATTGAATTCTGATTCAAACAAACTGTATTTTTATTTATTTTTTTTTTATTTTTTATTTTTGAGACGGAGTCTCGCTCTTATCGCCCAGGCTAAAGTGCAGTGGCACGATCTCGGCTCACTGCAAACTCCACCTCCCGGGTTCACACCATTCTCCTGCCTCAGCCTCCCGAGTAGCTGGGACTACAGGCACCCACCATCACGCGCAGCTAATTTTTTTATATTTTTAGTAGAGACGGGGTTTCACCGTGTTGACCAGGATGGTCTTGAACTCCTGAGCTGAGGTGATCTGCCTGCCTCGGCCTCCCAAAGTGCTGGGATTACAGGTGGGAGCCATCGTGCCTGGCCTCAAACTATATTTTTAAAAGAGAAGAAACAATTGGGAATTTGAATGCAGACTGGATATTTGATATTAAGGAATTACTTTTTTTTACATGTGATCGTGGTGTGGTGGTTTTATTTTTTTACAAAAGAGGCTTTTCTTTTCAAAACATACTGAAATATTTACTGATGAAAACCAAAAACAAAAAATGCAGGGGACAAGCACTAAAATAATAGACATGCAGGCCAGGTGTGGTGGGCCACACCTGTAATCCTAGCACTTTGGGAGGCTAAGGCAGGAGGATCACTTAAGACTAGGAATTTAAGACGCTGTCTCTACAAAATAATTTTGAAATTAGCCAGGCATGGTGGCAGGCACCTGGAGTCCTAGCTACTGGGGAGGCTGAGGCAGGAGAATTGCATGAGTCCAGAAGTTTGAGCTTACAGTGAGCTATGATAGTACCACTGCACTCCAGCATGAGTGACAGAATGAGACCCTGTCTCAAAAAAAAAAAAAAAAAAGGTAAATCTATAGTTACCAAACTTACAAATAAAAAAGAGGATATAGGAGGAGAGGAGAGAACGTAGAAAAAGTATCTTCTATACAAATGCTAAGCAAAAGAAAGCTGATATGGATGTATTTATACAAGTTCACAGTTCCTTATTTGAAATAATTGAGGCTCTATGTGTTTAAGAATA